GGGTGACTTTGGGCCAATCACTAGGAGTCTGTGAGTTCTAGTCCCACCTTAGGCATGAAAGCCAGCTGGGTGATTTTGGGCCAATCACCAGGAGACGGGGAGTTCTAGTCCCGCCTTACACATGAAAGCCAACCGAATGACTTTGGGCCAATCACCAGGAGACGGGGAGTTCTAGTCCTGCCTTAGGCATGAAAGCCAGCTGGGTGACTTTGGGCCAATCCCCAGGAGTCTTGTGAGTTTCTGATGAGAGAAAGAATAGCATTTAAAAGTCTTCTCTTGTCTGGGGTCCTTATGGAAGAAATGGACCCTCGGATCCTGACACTTTTCCCCCCTCAGGGGTCCCAGGTCCCGGTACGGGGAAGCTCTGGCTGGGAGAACAGCCTGAGACAGAAACCAGCCCGCCGGATCGTCTTCCAGGCGGGGCCCGTCTCTCAGGAGAAGAAAGTCAAAGAGGAAGTGGAAAGCATAGAAGGCTTCAAGGAACGGCACAAAATCCGGGTAGGGGTCTTCTCTCTGTTTGGTTTTTTTAATTCAAAACCCATTGCAAAAAGCAAAAGAAGAAATATTCAGGTAGTCCTCGACTTACGAGGACCGGGTTTCACACTGACGACCGTTGAAGCGTCCCCGTGGTCACGTGATCAAAATTCAGACGTTTAGGCCACGGTTTCATATTTGCCACGATCCGAAAGCCGGCTGGGTGACTTTAGGCCAATTCCCCAGGAGATGTGAGTTCTAGTTCTGCCTTAGCCGTGAAAGGGTGGGAATTCCAAAATCCCAGCACCTGGTTCCCTGCCTGGTTGCCGGGTGGGCCAAGCCATGGTGGGCTTGGCCTACCGGAACTTCTGGGAGGGTCATTTTTATTGTCTTCCCCCAGAGTCCGGAGGCTTCCCTCGGGCTTCTGGGAGGGCGAAAACAGCCTTCCTGAGCTCTGGAGGCCCTCCGGAAGCTGGAAACAGTAGATGTGAGTTCTAGTTCTGCCTTAGGCGTGAAAGCCGGCTAGGTGACTTGGACCAGTCCCTCTCTCTCTCTCAGCCCAGCCCTCACAGGGTTGTTTTTGTGGGAAAAAAAACAGTGTCAGGGCTCCAACGTGCGCCCCCGTTCAAATCACAAGTCTCTGGCCACGTCTCTTGGAGTAAACAAAGATTGATTTATGAGGAGTTGATATGTCGATGTTTCCTGGCTGCAGCCGACTGACACATCATTCAGTTCACCCTTGATTCTGGCCTCCCCACCACCACCAGATTATATTGTCCAATGAGACACATCCATAGCCAAGAGTCATCAATCATCCTCTGCAGTAATAATCTTGCGCGCCAACAGCTTCGGCTGCGAAGACGATTATCTGAGGCATTTAAGGAATGCACTGCTTTCTCCCACTCCCTTTTTCTGGCAACTAAAAAAGACCAAAGGAATATTTTTTTAGTTGACAAGCAGGAGGAAGGTGTGCATCGAATACGTTCCCTGGCTTGAATTGTTCATAAAAATACTAAAGGTGGGGTATAAATTAAAGAAATATGCCTGTAATTAATGGATTTGGGTGGGGGGCATTGGAAAATGTATTTCTTTTTTGGGAGTGACGGTTTTGGGGGCTCAACCTTTCCGTTTCTGATGAGAGAAAGGATAGCCTTTCAAAGTCTCCTCTTGGGTTGGGGGTCCTTACGGAAGAAACGGACCCTTGGATCCTGACACTTTCCTCCCCTTGGGGTGTGTGGGGGTGGTCCCAGGTCCCGGTACGAGGAAGCCCTGGCTGGGAGAAGAGCCTGAGACAGAAACCGGCGCCCCGGATCGTCTTCCAGGCGGGGCCCGTTTCGCAGGAGAAGAAAGTCAAAGACGACATGGAAAGCATAGAAGGCTTCAAGGAACGGCACAAAATCCGGGTAGGGGGTCTTCTATCTGTTTGGGTTTTGTTTTGTTTTTTCATTCAAAACTCGCTGCCAAAAGCAAAGAAGAAAAATACGGGTAGTCCTTGACTTAACGACGGTTCGTTTAGCAACTGTTTGAAGTTACAACAGGCACTGGGGGAAAAAAAAATGACTTGGGACCATTTTTCACACTTATGACCATCGCAGGGTCCCCCGTGGTCACGTGATCAAACTGTCATGGTTTGAAAGTCGGCTGGGTGACTTTGGGCCAATCGCCAGGAGATCTGAGTTCTAGTTCTGCCTTAGGCGTAAAAGCTGGCTGGGTCACTCGGCCCATCACCAGGAGATGTGAATTCTAGTCCTATCCTAGATACAAAAGCCAGTTGGGTGACTTTGGGCCAGTCACCAGGAGACAGTGAGTTGTAGTTTCTAGCATAGCCGGCTGGGGAATTCTGGGAGTTGACATCCACAAGGGCTCAAAATTGCCACGGTTGGAGTTTTCTTGGTGTATGCAAGGACCGTCTGTTTCTTGGTTCGAGGGCCGCTCCTTCCACCTCTTTTCTGCACGGGGGACTCAGTTTTCCCTTCCTTTCCAGCACTCCAAAAGGATTTCTGGATTTATCCCGATAAACTACTCGGAAGAGAATTCCAGGCAGCAGGAGAATACCGAGGTCCAAAATGGTTGTGACTATCGACCAGCAAGAAGGATGCCAGAGTATCAGGTGGGAGTGAGGTCCTGGGTGGGCTTTGGGAGGGAATTAAAGGAGACACTTGTATTAAGTTAGTCTGCCGGTAGAATAGAAATAGAAATAGAAATAGAATAGAATAGAATAGAACAGAATAGAAAATATGGAATGAAATGGAAGGGAAGAGAAGAGAAAATATGGAATAGAATTGAATACAACATAGAATAGCATAGTGTAGAATAGAATAGAATAGAATAGAATAGAATAGAATAGAATAGAATAGAATAGAATAGAATAGAAATTATGGAATGGAATAGAAATAGAAATAGAAAAGAATAGGAATAGAATAGAATAGAAAATATGGGGTGGAATAGAATAGAATGTAGAATATAGAGAATTGAATGGAATTACAGACTAGAATAGAAAATATGGAATGAAATGGAAGGGAAGGGAAGAGAAAATATGGAATAGAATAGAATACAACATAGGATATAGCATAGCATAGAATAGAACAGAAAGAATGGAATGGAATAGGATAGGATAGGATAGAATAGAATAGAATAGAGTATAGAGTATTGAATAAAGTAGAAAATAGAATAGAATAGAATTGAATTCTTTATTGGCCAAGTGTGATTGGGACACACAAGGAATTTGTCTTTAGTGCAAGTGCTCTCAGTGTTCATTAAAAGAAAAGATACATTCATCAAGAGTCCAGAATCATCAGCTACAACACTTAATAATAGTCATAGGGCACAATAAGCCATCAAATCGTATTAGGAAACAGTCAGTATAAATCGTAAGGATATAAGCGACAAAGTTACAGTCATAGAGTCACAAGTGGGAGGGGATGAGTGATAAGGAGTAATGGGAAGATTAATAGTAATAGTAGTGCAGACTTTGTAAATAGTTGGACACTGTTGAGGGAATGAGTTATTTAGCAGAGTGATGGCGTTAGGGGAAAAACTCCCCTTGTGTCTAGTTGTTCTGATATGCAGGGTCCTAGTTTACTTTACTTTATTGTCCTTGCACCTCGTACAACAAAATTAAATACCATCTTCAGTGTACATCATGACCATGAAAATAAACACAAACACACATCCTTCACATTCTACACAATGAATTGAAAATCTCTGATATTGCACTAATATTGCACTATGCAGTAGAATTCCATAGAGGTCCTGCCCTGGGATAGAAGCTGCCTCATTTTAAAGGGAATAATCGACTGAATTTTGTACGTTCTGTTGTAAACTCTTCCCAAGGGTTGATAAAGAGAGTCAGTTTGGGCTAGTGGTTTAGGCACTAGGCTAGAAAGCGGGAGATATATAGTGAGTCCTAGTAGTCCCCTTAGGCATGAAAGCTGGCTGGCTAACTTTGGGCCAATCACCAGGTGACTGTGAGTTCTAGTCCGATCTTAGGCATAAAAGCCAGCTGGATGACTTTGGGCCAATCACCAGGTGACTGTGAGTTCTAGTCCTGTCTTAGGCATGAAAGCTGGCTGGCTAACTTTGGGCCAATCACCAGGACACACAGTGAGTTCTAGTCTTGTCTTAGGTATGAAAGTGGCTGAATAACTTTGGGCCAATCACCAGGTGACTGAGTTCTAGCCCTGCCTTAGGCATGAAAGCTGGCTGGGTGACTTTGAGCCTATCACTAGGTGACTGTGAGTTCTAGTCCTGTCTTAGGCATGAACATGGCTGAGTAACTTTGAGCCAATCACCAGGTGACTGTGAGTTCTAGTCCCACCTTAGGCACAAAAAACCAGCTGGGTGATTTTGCTCCCAGGCCAGGGTGATGCAGGGGGGCCGACTAGGCCACCTCCACCATGGCCACCCCCAGCCAGCAACCAGGCAGAGAAATGGTTGCTAAATTTTTGGAAGCCCACCCGTGCCCCTCACCCTAACCTGTTCAACCTTCCTCTTTTTTCTGTTCGATTCACAGGACGGGAAAGGCTTTGGAATCGGGGAACTGGTCTGGGGGAAGATCAAAGGTTTCTCTTGGTGGCCGGCTATTGTGGTGTCCTGGAGGACCAATTCCAACCGCCAGGCGGCCCCCGGCATGCGCTGGGTGAAATGGTTTGGGGATGGAAAGTTTTCGGAGGTAAGCGTGGAAGGACGGCAGAGAGAAGATGGTCAGTCTCTTTGGCTCTCCCGTCTTACTCTCCCGTCTACCATTTTCTTAAGCTGTAGTTTGTGGAATCAGAGGCAACTAGCTGGGTTCAGAGATGTTAAACCACGAATGATGGTTTATGGATCACTTGTTTTTGCGGTGTCCTCCTTCCTTCCTTCCTTCCTTCCTTCCTTCCTTCCTTCCTTCCTTCC